TCGATTTCCGTATGATATAATTCGATCTGATTTGTATGATTATGATTCTGATACGATTCTGACACGCTTCTGTCTGTTCTGATATGAATGCTGAGCTGATATGATTTGATCTGATTTCTGATTTTGGTACGTTCTGTCAGTTCTGATGTGATGTATTTTTTATTCTGTTCTGATTTGCTATACGATTCTGTTCCGATTTCTGTTTGGATTTCTGTCTGATGTGTTTGATGTGGACTCTGAGGATTTTGATTGGAGGTTTGTTGTCTTGCTGAGCTGTTGTAGCTCATCCTTATTTTCTGCGTGGTTTTCAGGTTCTGGGAAGGGGAAGGAAGTCCAGGAATAGAAGTTCACAGTCTGATTCCGTATAAGTATTTTTTCCCTTTTGATTTTTGTACAGTCATGGCTTTTCTGTTCTGCTTTTCTTTCTGTCTAAAAGCCATGAGCTGTATTTGTACATGATTCTTTTGAGGAAGAAAAATGATAGATGATCTGTTCCGCTGCATTTGATGTTTATAGTAGCTCTGCGCGTCTGTTTTTGTCTATATGTTTGGAAGAAAGTTCTGAAACAAATTTCAAAGCCAAATCCTGGAATCAGTTTAGTCAGTCTGAATGTTCAGGCCCCACGACCCGATGCGAGCGGGATTCGTCCCGGTCGGGTTGGGTCGTGACAGCAACAGCCCGTGAGAGAAAAATCCAGAGAAGAAAAGCTGCAGCAACTCCAATTCAAGAAGAATGTGAAAGATCAAGTTCCACCCACCAAATCTTGCTCCCAACATTAATTTTATAACTAAACATCAGCTCATAATGAGCTACACTTCTACTAGATATTAATGAGCTTGCACCAACTAAAAATTCAACAACTAAAGCTCCAACCAAAAATAGCCAAGGCCCATATGAAACCAACAAGCAGCCCAAAAGACAAGATGGAAGATGAAAGGACAAGATAATGAAGAGAAGGAGAGGGGGAAGATAAAAAGACACAAGGCAAGAAATTACAAGAAAAACTCAACTTGTGTTGACCCCCCCCCTTGTCTACATCAACCCCATATCTTGTCTGAATAGTATGAATATCCACAACATCATCGATAAGATCATCACTGGTCTGAACTAGAAGAACAAGGGGCAAAGTCTCTATGTCCACATAATCAGTTGGTTCTCCTTCATAGTAATAAGATCGACAACATTAAACACAGGAGAGGCTCCAACAGAAGATGGATGATCCAATAGATAAGAATTGGTACACAATCTTTGAAAGATTGGGAAAGGACTAAATTTCTTTCGGCTTAATTTGTCAAACATGACAACGGGAAAGCGCTATCGTCGAAAGTAAGCCATAACAAATTCTCCTTATTGAAAATAACACACTCTCCGGTGCTTGTCGGCCATTGTCTTCTATTTGGCATTTGCCATATGGGGTTTTTCTAACACATGTTGTTGGACCGATCGAATGTGCTCAATAATTTCAGTAGCATCAACACTAATTTGACCAGGTATAGGTAATGAAGCTCGTTCCATGATGTGGGGAATAGATTGGCCATAAATAGATTCAAATGGGGTTTTTCAATTTCATCAGTTAATGGAATTAATATAAGAAAATTCGGCTTTGGGTAAAATCAAGTCTCATTAGGAAGGTCTTTCTCCACCTACGCAAATTTTCTGTTTGCTACAATTTGTCCATCAATTTTTGAATGATATGCACTACTAAATTGGAGAGTAGTTCCTAATTTAAAACAAAGTGTTCTCCAAAAATAACTTAAAACCCTAGTATCACTATCAAAGGTAAAAGTTTGAGGCATGTCATACAGTCACACAATTTCTTTAAAAAATAAATCAACAACATAAGATGTATCAGAGGTTTTCTTACAATGAATGAAATGAGTCATTTTACTAAATCGATCAATGACAACGAACACATAATCAAATTTTCAGACTGTTATAGGTAATTCTAAGATGAAGTTCATGGTGATATCTTCCAAAGGTTTTCTTGGAATCAGGAGTGGAGTATATAGACCAGTGTTTTGATTTGTTTTCTTTGAATGATTGACAAGTTTTACATTGTTTTACGAACTTGGATATATGTTTTTGGATGTGGGGCAAATAATATCCTTCAATTAAGATTATAGTTTTTCCTTGACCAAAATGTCCTCCTAATCCTCCACCATGAAGTTCTTGGATGAGTTTCTCTCATAGAGAGCTTAAGGTGATACAGAGTCTAGTTCCCTTAAACAGAAATCATTGTTGAATGGTAAATTGAGCAGATGGGTCAATTCCGGAAGAACAACATGATTCTCGTATATTTTTAAA